CTCGACACTGTTCTTCGCAGCGCGACAAAAAATGTGCAGAAAGTGGTTGTGTGCAGCCATATACCCCTAGATCCTGGTGCAGCTGCACCAGAGTCACTGTTATGGAACTATGAAGAGGTGATGGAGGTGATACATCGGTACGAATGTGTTAAGGTTTGCTTCGCTGGTCACGATCATACTGGCGGGTATTCGATAGATTCGCGTGGAATTCACCATTGCGTTCTTGAGGCAGCTCTTGAATGTCCTCCGGGCTCCGATGCATTTGGGTATGTTGATGTTTTTCGTGACAGGTTGTTACTTTCAGGTGCTGATAGAATGAGAAGTGCTGAAATGGTCTTTATCTCCTAAAGTGTGCATGTGTATCCTATTAATGTTTCCTTTGATAATTTTCCAAGAGATGGAATAATAATACTAACAAGTTGTCGATGTGTATGAATTGATCTCTTTGCTTTCTTTTCTTGTAATTTTTCTTCTTCAAGTACTACAAGCATTAGAGCACATGCTGGATTTGCATCCTGATGATTCTGAAATTGTTCTCCAGATTTCAGGGATAACTTTGGATGCACAGAATTGGCTTCTGAGACGCAGGGTTTCTGATAATCATAGTACGTGATGTTGTTGAGAGATTTTTATTGAGTTGGGTTTATTTTGTATAATGGAGATTTTACATTTTGTAGAAAAAAATTTTTAGTAATTGAATTCAGTTGCAAGACTATTTTTTTAGAATAACGCTAACTATGCTATACTTTTCAAAATTACCCCCAACGCTGCAAGAGAGAGAAGTGTGAACTCTCTTGACGAAACATCAATTTTGAGAAAAGTTAAATAGATTTGGACACCAAGCTTTTTTCGCTTGTAGCGTGGAAATAGCTTAAGTGGGATAGCATAGTTATCACTTGCCAAAAATGATATGTTGCTCGGATTTATTGTCATTTGTAAAGTGGAGCGTGTGGAGCGTGACAAGTGATCGGGGATCGCTCGTCCACCAGATTTTCAATGTGAATGCATTTGGTTTCTCCAATGTAACCTATACTCCATTTTGAGGCTCATGATGTTAGAAGACAATTTTTAAAAAAATCATGTAACAAATTCGTTGATTACAGCTAAAAGTATATACAAATAAGCAAACACTTGATTTCCAATGCAAATAGACTTTTTTTGCTAAAACAGAAATGAAGACATCTGATCAACGGATTTGAGATTAATTTATCGCAAGAAATGTAAGGATTTGCATGTTGCACAATTAGTTTCATAGATTTCTCTACAAAATAAAAATTTTAATAATTATTCTCACCTATCTACTTTCTATTCGAATATTTTTAAAAATAGAAATTTAACTGCAAAATAGAAATTTGCTGTTGTAACTCTGTTTTTCTCTGTTAACCAAACGACCAAAAAAAAAAAAAAAAAAAAGTAACCGTAACATTCATAGGGATTCGGATCCGGGTCCACTCGGGTGTAGTTGGGTACAAGAATTCTGAAACCCAAGTTACCCAAATATTCATCCAAATCGTAGTTTGCGAGTAAATCGAGGCAACCGACACGAGGAAAGTCGAGGTATACACTCAACTTGTTTCTTATAATCTTTTATTAAATTTTCTCTTCTTGTTTACTAGTAATTATCGATCGTTGATATTCCTGTTATTGCAAGCTCATTGGATCAAAATTTGGGGTAAATCAACAAAACAAAACTAGGTTATGTTACACTGGACAGTTTTATAGCTTAAAATTTTGCAGATATTGGTATCAGAACCCATTTTGATTAATTGGGTTTTTTGCATTCTTAATGGATGACTGTGAAATTTGGAAACGTAAATGAGACTGGATTTGGGTTTGGCTCAAATTTGGAGTTTTTGGGATTTAGTTTTTTTTAAGCCCCCAATTGCTTATTGATGCCATTGTGTATGGGGACTTAATCGTCAATGAAACCTAACATTATTTCTTGGTTAGATTGTGATGAATTATGGGTGAAGTATAGAAATGGCAATGATGTTGTAGTGACAATAGTAAGGATCTAAATTTGTAGGGAGCTTGACTATCGAAGGCCGGGTTTCGAAATTATAACACCTTTATATAGTTACTTGAATATAGAGGTTCTTCGTATGCAAAGAAGAATGTATACTTGTGAAGCCAATGTTAGTGTGACATAAATATCCTGCTGGTTTGATTTGTTTGGCTATCTGACCCAATTGTTTCAATTGTTTCTTGTTGAGTTTGATTGCATTGGAACACGAGTTGTTGATGGAATCAAACAATGTAGTTGAGTAGTAATTCATCAACAGGATTTGATGTCCATTACTTGCAAAACTCATAATTCAGGGGTTTAAACCTCTATTTGAGTTTAATTAGATTCATAGACGGGATTTTTCTTTGTTTCTGTTTTACTGGTTTAAGGTCTATAAAAAAACATCTTTCTTTTTAGATATGTTTATAAAATATTTACTAGTTATGGTAAAAGATAATAACCAGATTGAGTGCCTATTGGAAGATGTTCTCTAAATAGACAACTATATATTTCTGAGAAAATGACTATACCCTCTTGAACTAGTGCGATGAACTTATGCGAGAACAAAAATTTGGATGAACTTGCGTAACTAAAATTTACCCGTATTTGTTGTGTATGAATATCTCCGCAGCAGTTCACATTTGATTACTTCTTTACTCATCTTTTTCTTTTCCCTCAATGAAGTGATCTGTATCCTGGCTAGCTAGTTCTTATGGCTTTGGCTAATGGAGTATCGACTGTTGATTTCAAGAAACCTCTTTTCTCTTTCGGAGTCATAACTGATGTTCAGTATGCTGATATCCCCGACGGCCACTCATTCTTGGGCGTGCCTCGATTCTATCGGCACAGTATCCAGGTCTTGCAAAGAGCTGCAGTTAAGTGGAACAGTCTCAAGACACTTAAGTTCTCAATCAACTTTGGGGACATAATTGATGGGTTCTGCCCCAAAGACAAGTCACTAACAGCAGTAAATAATGTCCTCGATGAATTTGACAAATTTAATGGCCCGGTCTATCACATGATTGGCAATCACTGCCTATATAACCTCCCTCGAGATAAGCTGATTCCGTTGCTCAAGATTCCCTCCCCGTACGGTTGTGCTTACTATGATTTCTCCCCATCTCCAGAATACAGGTTTGTCGTTTTGGACGCGTATGACATCAGTGCCATTGGTTGGGCACAGGATCATCCAAAAACTTCATTAGCTATGGAGTTACTGCAGTCGAAGAATCCAAATGCAGACAAGAACAGTCCGGTAGGATTGCTGGGTCTCGAAAAGAGGTTCTTGATGTTTAATGGGGCGGTCGGTAAAGAACAGCTTGAATGGCTCGATGGTGTCCTACAAGACTCCACGAAGAACGAGCAGAAAGTGATTATATGCTGCCACCTACCTCTAGACCCCGGTGCAGCGACACCGGAGGCACTGTTGTGGAATTACGAAGAGGTGATGGAAGTCATACACCAATATGAATCTGTGAAGGTGTGCTTTGCTGGGCATGCTCATAAGGGTGGATATTCGGTTGATTCTCATGGCATCCATCACCGAGTTCTTGAAGCAGCGCTCGAATGTCCACCTGGCTCAGATGCATTTGGTCATGTTGATGTTTATCACGATAGGTTGTTGCTTTCAGGAACGGACCGAATGGCGAGTACTGAGATGGTTTTCATTTCTTGAGGGGTATATTTTTACCCTTCCATATGTTCTTTTGTCTGATTAATTTGGTCTCATATTTATATTTCAGATATACATCTTTGGTTGAAAAAGAAGTTATATTATCCATAGGCAGAACTAATAATTCCGGCATGGAAAACTATTCTAAGTGATGATGTTGTGATGTATACTTCTATAAAGCGGCATACTTTATTAAACAAATGGATGCATTAAGAGTTTATGACTTATTTGGTGTTTTTCATGTGGAATAACTATTTCATGGTTCTACTTAAGCATCTTCCATGGTTAAAGTACACCCGGCTGTATGGTTAGTTAATGCTCCAGATGATTGACCTGAATTTATCAATAACTACTCTTTTATCTGATGCCATGTTTGGAGTTCTGCCCCTCGATTACTTACATTTCCATTTTGGTATGACTCATTCCTTTTATCTTGCATATGCATTTTGGCAAATAATTTTCTTTTCGGAGAGTTATGACATCCTTGGAAATAGATGGCCATTATCTGATGAGACTGTTCTAAACCACGGTTACATATAAATGCAAACTTTCAGGAAGTCTTTGTGGAAAACTTTTGCAACTTTGAAACAGCAACATACAGAGAGAACTGAATGGAAGAATAGGATTCATGTAGCCCACCCTAATATTTTGGAATAAAGGCTTTGATGTTGTTGTAAACAGAAATAATACACTGCAGAGCAAGAGGTAAAGACAGTTTTCTTTCATTATCCGAAATCTTTGACATTTTACGTAACAACAAATAGCTGGCAACATTTTCATTCGTTAACATTTTCTTTTTCTTTCGAGAAAATAAGCTACTATAAAAATGGAATTAACTCCTTTCAGTTGGGATATATTACAAAAGGTGTTGAATGAGAATATTCCAGTTAGGATATATTACAAAAAGTGTTGGACTAGAAAATTGTATCATAGAATGCAGCTGGATAAGATTCAATATATAGTTCTCTTATTTTTAGTTTTGAGGAACAATCACTACATGCTGCTACTGATGTTATGGTTTTATTGACAAGATGTCTGAGTATTGTTCTTGTTGATGTTTCAATAATACATACCTAGAAAATTTTTGTTATTGCCAAAATCCTTCGACTGTTGCTGGCCCTTCACTTCGCAAGAATAAAATAACTTGTAACTTTACACTTAGAAGTTTTTTAAATTTCACAGTTGGAGAATTATTCAAAACTTCCTCAACTACAACCACTTGGTACTGACTGGTGATAGCCCATTGGTATTGTACTTCAAAATTGCAACAATGCAGATACAGAGACTAGGTGTTCTCTTTTACTCTCTAATTTCCCTTTCCTTTTTCTTGAAGTTCGCTTACAACTGGTACTTTATCATATGTCTATTAGTCAACATTTTCTTTTGGAGTAAAATTTTGAATAGGCTATTGTTATTTATTACATGCTAAAATCAAAGGGTGTCTTGGTTTCCTTCTCCAAACATTCATTATTTCTATGTCAACTGCCGACATTTGTCAATGTATTATATATTGACATGAAGTAAGTATATATTATTGTGAATAAGATATGGATTTCTTCTTGTTAAAATTACAGATATAATTGATGGGTATGTGGAATCAATTGACTTCCATTGATTAAAAGGCGTGATGTGCTTAAGAACTTGTCATACATACAGCAGGATTCATCAATTTGTCAAGAGTAAAACGGAAATTCTGCTCTAAGATCTGCTCTAAAATCAGTTCCAACTTTATTTCTTTTTTTTTAGATGAGCAAATTATGTAACTGTATAAATATGTGTCGGTCTTTCAATTTGGCTGTTATGTTGTATTTCACAGACATGAGCTAATTCATACAGCTATGCATACAAAAATGGATTTCACCCCTATTTTATGTAAAGCTGCATGCACATCGTCTTTGCTGTCTTAAAAACATGGAGATTGATTTAGGAATATAGTCTTGGATGCCGACATTGTTGTTCCTATCTTTTATTTATGTTGATTATAGAAATATATACTAATTAAAACCCAGTAGCATGAGAATGTTTCATTATCTGATAATGGATAAATATGGTAACATAATATTTGGTTGTGGCCATTACTCACTTTAAACATCTTCCAAATTTGCAGTCACCTTTCTTAGTAGAGTACAAATCATAGCAGATCCGCTTGTATATGGGCTGCGGTCTCAAGTTCATCCCCTTGGAGAGCTGAGATCACAATCGCTTGCGGCGAAAGGGGGCGGTTTTGCTCTCGTCTCTCCTAATGTATGTATTTGAGGCCACCTACCGGCTTACACCATAGACATGATGCTGATAAGAATTGCGTTATTCTTAGGGCTTGTGTGGCAACTCTGGCACTAAACAGGATAGCAGAACTAACCTGGAAAGGGCTAAAATTTTCCTAATGAATGCATCAGCACCTGTTACTGCATAGAAGAGGTTCTGATAAGAATGACATTCATCTTAGGCTCGTTGGGCAACTCTCCCACAAACAACAGAGGAAGTAACCTGATTAGGGGCTTAAATTTTGTTTGGAAAAAGCTGTTAGATCTCATGTTTATGAGCCTACTATCTAATCTAATTTTGATGATTAACAAACAATTCCTAACATCGTTTGTCGAGTGTTTGTGTTTGCTTGTTAGGTATTCTACACAAAGATCCTCCGTCGGAGGTTGGTTGGACTTACGCCTACACGATCACATCCTTTTGGAGGTTGGAGAAAATAGGAATGAAGCTATGCGTTTAAGTCAACACATCATCAAGCTTTATTCCCGCTATCAAGATCAAGCTTCAACGAAAGATCATTAGCTTGGGTATATTTTTAGTTTAGGTGTTTACTTTATGTGTCATGCTTAAAGCTCAAATATATACACATACACGTTGTTTCGTTATATGGCTTTCATTGGTTGTTTCATTTTGCAAAAAGATATGTTTAGCCATACAAATATTTTAAAAGATAAGTTTTAACCATATAAATATGAAACAAATACATATATTCGTATTCTTGCACATATGTTTCGTATTTATCGCATTATACATCATTTTGAGAAAATAATGTGTTTATTGTTTTGAGAAAATAACGTGTTTGTGGATTATTGACTTAGTGATACTATTTTACATCTTTTCATTGTGGATTATTGACTTAGTGATACTATTTTACATCTTTTCATAAGTCTATAAATCCATTCAAAAGAATTTTCAAGCTTGTTTTTTCATAAGTCTATAAATCCATTCAAAAGAATTTTCAAGCTTGTTTGAAAGAATTTCATCAAAAACCAAATGTTCGACGATTTTGTATTATTGAACAGTTTACAAAATAAATAAGCTTTCACAAATGGAAAATGCAATTTGAAAAATTCTTTTTCAAACATATTCTATTACATGTTTATAAACATTTTCCAAAATTTTATCATTTTTTGAGTTTATTTACTATGTTAAATTGATTTTACAAAATCAAGTGTTCAGCAGTGTTCAGAATCTAGAATATCTGTTTTCAAACAGAGGTTTCTCACAAATCCGAAGTGATATTTCATAAATTCTTTCTCTAACATGTTTATCTACATGTGTAGAAAATTTCCTCAAATTTTCACGATTTTGGAGTTGATTTACTATTTTTAATTAATTTTAGAAAGTCAGCTACGTAAAATTTCAAAATATGTCAACTGTTTCCAATGGTCATATTATCAGTCGAACGACTTTACTGTTCAGTCGACTGAACAGCTATTTCCAGCAGTAACAGATAGTTTTATAAGCTGAGTTTTTGGGGCTATAAATACCCCTCTTGTCTTGGTTCTTTTCAAGGGGTTTAACAAGGTTTTGGGTTGTTTATTGCTGAGTTTTCAAGAGAGTTTAAGTGTGTTTAATGTGAAGAAAGTTTCACAAAGAGAAGGAGATTGATTTCGGCTTTGGGAATTCATCTTCAAATCCTCATCTCTCTTTTTTTTAGAGAAGTTTTATTAAACTCATCTTCTAGTTATTTATTATTTTTGATTCTCATATTCTTATGCTAGATTGATTTGAGTTTTATTCTCGTTTTGCTCATTGATTGCACACACACCCACTTGAGCTTTTAGTATTTCACATATTATATATTTGAGTTGTGATTGGGTCATTGAGAGTGAGCTTACACTTAGTTCTCATCCTTGTATTAGAGAACAAACAAATTTACTTGTGCCTTAATTGTTGAGATCACGTTGTAATACACAAGGACACTTAGAGAAGTGGTTGGTGAGAGACGGGATCAATTCTAAGAGGAGTGGTGTCGGTGGTAAATCCTAGAGAGGTTGTAATTCCAAGCACTTAAGGAATGTGTCACGGTCTAGGCCAACACTTAGAGAAGTGTGTTGTGTTATTGTAATTGTGAGAGTTGTAAAAGTTTTCGATTAACTTGGAAAACCAATTGTGTAGTTGTTTTTGAGATAGTGAAGATTCTACTCGACGGTGAGGAGCGGAGACGTAGGTCGTGGGTCGACCAAACTCCGTGATCATTTGCTTTGTGTTTGTGTTTGGCATTGACGTATTTTCTTTTGTATATTTTCATATCGCGTTTTGTCTCATGTTTATATCGCCATTTGTCTAAATTGTTTATCCTTGCACATAATTTCATTGTATACCACATTGTTAGGATATATTAGTTAATAAGTTTTAATTTGACATTAATATCAAATTAGATTAGTAATTATCCTATTCACCCCCCTGTAGGGTACTTTCATCTGGTATCAGAGCTTGGTGCTCTTTGATTTGTAGCTTAACCGCTTAGAGTCAAAGATCCTCACTTTGATTTATTGTTAATCTAGTTTCGTGATTTTTTTTTTTTTTTTTGCTTGCGTATTTATCATGGACATGCATGGTGCACCTAGTTTGGGTTATGCTATTAATATTGCTCCAAAGCTCGATAATTTCCCTTATGCTCAATGGTGTGTTAGATTTAAACTATTTGTTAGATCTAAATTTTTTGATTTATGGGAAATAATTGACGATGCTTATATTGTACCCACTTTGGAGAAATCCAAGTGGAGTAATAATGATAAAAAGATGTTTACCATGAACAAGCTAAAAAGGTGTCTTCTTCAACTTGAAATATTTTAGTTCAAAACGTAGTTGCATGGTTCCCGTTTTGTTCCTGTTCACAGGAATGAGAATGGGAGCGTGATACACCACTTATCAGGAATTGGAGAGGGGGGAGGGGGAGGCTTATATGGTATGCTAGGGAACGTGGTATGTTTAGGTTCAATTTTTAAATGTCGGAATCTAATCTGAGGTTTTGCAAGATTCAAATTTAACATGTATATGCTAGGTGGTACCAATAATGGTTAAAGTTCCTTAAGAATCATGTTGCAAGTAAGGTATACATGTTTTATATGTTTAATTTCTCATGCTTTTCGTTGTTTGTTCTTTTGAAAAAAAGTAGTTGTTTTTTCAAGAATTCTAAATCGGTTCGCTGGTGTTGGTGAACCAGTCATGTTGAGATAAGTGTCGAGTAATGGCCAAATTTCAATAAGTTGGATTTAGATTAGATCCCATATGAAGTTTGGTCCATTTTTAGATAATCCAAAAAATGTGCCAACAATGCACAACTTTAGAAAATAAAATTCAGATAAACCCGCCAGAATTCATGGTATGAAAGTTCATCCATATTATTTACATTTTACCATGATGAAAGTGAGGGGAAACCTAAACTGATCTTCTTCAACTTGAAATATTTACCTTAACATTTCTTCATGCAGTCTTCAGTTACTGCAATTTTTACAGGATATATTCCAGAAACAGCAAGGCCAACCCTTAAAACAATTCAGTTGCAATTGATGCTTCTGATGCAGACAGGTTAGAATTTGCTATTCTGGTTCTTGTATTGATGAATAAGTTGATTCCGGCCAGTTTTCAAATTTCCTAGTGGCCTCCTCCTGTCCGTTCGATCTTTCCAAAAATTACGTATTGTGGGCATAAGTTTGTCGTTGCTCGCGCAGCACGTTACACATATGAGCAATACCCTCATTTAAGATATCCTTAGATAAGTCAACCAGACGCTCTCACGTCCTTTAGGCACACCAAAGAGTCACTTTGGACCTAATTCTGTCATTTTTAATAACAACACTGTCAATTTTCTCCATTTAAATTAGGTCCCTGTAATCTTTTGGCTCTCTGAAGAGGCTTTATGTCTTTCTGATTTGCTAAAATGGGGACTGATTGACTTTTCGTTGTGATTATAGCTTGGCTTTGAGGATATATATATAAGCATAGCTGTTGGCTGCAGCTGAATAATTGAGCAAAGGAAACTAAGTAGGAAACAAGAAATGGGCTCTGCAGGTTTCTTCTCATCTGAGGTCACTGCTCTTTTCTTTCTCATGCTCTTCCTTGCTGTGACGAGCGTCGAAGGAGCGCTCTTCTCCAGTCTTCAAAGGACTCTGATAGTGTCTGCGTCAACCAAAGAAGGCGAAGGTAAGGGACTAGTTTACCCCGGTATCTGTAAGGTTCCCTCCTTTTTTTTAATGGAAATTTCCCTGTAATTTTATTTGATTCAGAATTATAAAATTGATATATGACTCGAGTTCGTGCATCTAGAAAGTGATTTTGCACACAATTAATTTGGATGAGTTCTCAAGTTGCCAAACTGACCCTTAAAGATGTTTGTTATATTCGAAGTTAATCAGTGATCTTCGTTTTAAATATAAATGAACGATCATTCTCCGCGTTCTATCTTAATGAAGCACTTAGCTAAATCTTTAGTTTATTACTATGGACTAAAGTCGCCAGACTCATCTCTTTTACCATCCGTATCAATTTCTCAGTAATGAAAGCTGGAGAAGACAAATTTACAGTCTCATGGGCACTCAACCGAACAAAGTCTACGACAGGCACAGACTCTTCACACAAAAAAATCAAAGTGATGCTATGCTACGCCCCAGTGAGCCAAAAGGACCGAGGGTGGAGAAAAACAGTCGACGACCTCGGCCTAGACAAGACCTGCCAGTTCGAAATCACCACCGAACCCTACACCGCATCGAACACGAGCTATGAGTACATGATCAAGCGTGATGTGCCGTCTGCTACTTACTTCATCAGGGCTTATGTGCTCGATGCTAATGATAAAGAGGTTGGCTATGGGCAGACCACTGATAAAGCGAAGGGTAGTAATTTGTTTCAGGTTGAGGGTATTACAGGGAGAACTGCGTCTCTTGATATCGCTGCAGGCTGCTTTTCGGCGTTCTCGATTTTATCGCTGGTGTTCTTCTTTGTTAAGGAGAAGAGGATGGGCAAGAAGTGATTGTGTTGCTTTTTGTTTTGTTACGTTAAAGATAAGATGCATGTTAAAGATGCATGTATAAGATACAGTTCGTTCTGTTAAATGAGCCACTAAGAGATGGACAAATGAAGCTTATGCGTTAGTCATTATTAGCAACAAAATTCTGTCGTTCCCATCTCTTTTCGACAGCTCACATACCAACGTCGCATATTATGAACTGAATAGATGATTTTTTTTTTTTTTAGTAAATTGACTGGTTCAAGACCTGACTCCGGAGGAAATGTTGGTGATCCAAAGTTATGAGTGCAGAGGCAAACTATAGCTGCTGTGATAAAGCATTAGGAAAAAGAAAGCAAATTTTTAAGATCAAAACTGGAAAATATTAAGCAAGGGAGAATATATCACACTATACAACAGCTTAGTTATGTAAACGCCTGTATTTTGACAATTTATTAGGAAACCCCTTAAAGCTATTTTTTTCATTAAGTATCCCCTGCTGCTAAACAAGGTTATTCTTCCGCAAATTATCGTGAAACTCATCTCCTCTCTTTTAAACATCAATCCCAAGTAACCACAAATATTAACAAAGAAAAAAAAACTTGTAGAAGAACAATATAATCTTTGCAAATTCTTTGATTTTATCCTCAACTTTCAACAATGAATGATTTAAGGACTCAAAATATGGGACCAAGGGAGGGGGACAGGTGATGTGTCCCCTCCCTATTGCATAATGAGTTGGCATGGCCAACTCATTATGCAATAGGGAGGGGACACATCACCTGTCCCCCTCCCTTGGTCCCATATTTTGAGTCCTTAAATCATTTTCCGGGATAAAATTACAGATAACCTTTTACATCTGTACTCGCAGCAGCACTTTTCATCTGGCAACTCATTTATTACCACCAACCATCCCTCCTCAATTCAGGGATAATAAATGCTAGTAAAGTAGTAGAGGAAGGATAAGTGATACTAAAGGCATAAATAGGGGGTTGTCTCCAATTAAAAAAAACTTACACAGCTGACATACAACCAATAAAAGCAAAATTTTGAACCAACATACACAGTGCTGCAAATTACGAGTAATTGAGATCAAGAATTGAAAAATACAGCTGCTCAAGCTTTGCCTTTACATGGAAAATTAGCAAATCTTACACCACATCAAGGGAGCGTCAAATTGTGTGGTGATAAGTTTATGCAGTTAACAACAAATTCTTGACGCTTTCTCAGTTACAAAACCAAAACCAAAAACCAAAAACATTAAAATAGAAAAAAAGGAATAAGTAGAACAAAATTCAGTAAGACATTATTATGCTTCTGCTGTAAAAGGAAAAAAGCAAGAATTTCAGCAGCAGCAGCTTTCACCAACCATCCCGCCTTGACCTGAGAATAGGGAAAATTAGGTAAACTGAATTATAATAATAATGAGGATGCATCATTGAATAACTACATATAGGTAGTAGATTTATTACTATAGCCACAGATGCTAATCAAATATACCAAATCTTTTCTCAACAGTTCATAATAAATTGCAAAATTTGAGGCATTAAAACTGAGCAATTGAAGACTATTAACAATTCTCAACACAAATAAATGGTTGAAGCATTAGATTAAACTGAAGTCAAGGTTCTACTTCTTGTTGTTTTTTCCCTTAAAGATCCGTAGAAGTAATAGCAAGCGTAAAAAATAGTTCAAGTTCAAGCAAATGCGTTAAATAAATTCAATTATTCAATAAACAAGTCCTCCCGACTCCCCCGCAGTGAGACAAATAAAAGAAAACTGGGAAGAGAATCCACATTCTGTTCTAAAACAGACAAAAAATCATGCGTGCGATTATCCTCTTTTCTCGATTTTTATCCCACTATAAACCTTTCTCAATTTTTCCCATAGCATATAACCTTTCCATCACAAACTCCAGATACATATAGCACAGTCATATTTATGCAACTAGTTCAAAAGTTCAGAACGGAAGAAAGAAAATCTTCAGAAAATTTCACAGGGAAATTATACCTTCTATATATGCTTATAGACACACATGTATTTAGTGTGTACACCATTTGCCTCGAAGATTATTTCTCAGATATCAAAAGCTAGACTAGGCACCATTCATATAACGTTCTGGTTCAACTTTATATGTATTCAAATGTGAGCTAAACTAGGTACCACATAGAAACTTCCTAGTTTAATTAAGTGTATGGTGTGTGGATATTTACATGTGACTGTGCATGTATACCATTGTTATCAAGTGCTCCTGCTGTGCTATGTTCATAAAGCAGCAATCAGCCATGTAAACTAAAATTATCTATGCATCTAATAAAACTAATATCAAGGGAGTAAGCCAGTTTTTGTCTAAAACAATGGGAATAATAACGTAGATCTGAGTGTGCATACCTGTCCATGCTTCTGTTGCCAAAAAAACCTGATTCTCTTCCTCCTTGAAAGCCTTTCCTTTCATCCAAGGGCTTACCCCATGATTCCCCAGTGCCACCATGAGATCGAGGCCTTTCCATGTAGTCCACATTTTTCGAGTCTTCAGACATACCAGACTGAGAAGGGGGCCTATCTGAGGGAAACGCAATCCTGCTCGCACCAGAACCAGTGGCTTTCTGGCCAAATCGAACCTTGTCATCCAACTCACGGGCGAGCTTGTCAAGATCTTTCTCTCTCTGAGAAATTTGCTCATGGAGATCAGTTTGTTTTTCAGAAGTAATCTGCTCAGAATCGCCATTCATGTTTCCTTCAGTTTCCTCCGTCAATGCCTTCTTTAGATTATTTATCTCATCTTTCAGCAGCTTTTCCTCCTCTGTCTCGGGTCTGAGAATTCAAGACAACAAGACGTAAAGTCGATAGAATAGAAATCTAAATAGAAAAAAGACTTTCCGACTTGCTGAACACAATCAGAACAAGCAGGAAAATGTCACATTCATCGTACGAATTAGTTAGTAAAATAGGATCTTCTTTTTTAACTAAACTTAGCAGGAAAATATGTTTACTATCGATTTGTTGCACATGCACCACTTCTCAAAGATAGACTATACATCACTGGCGCATGTTCAATTGCATATTACAAATCATCAATAATTTCTAAGTTATATCTTATATTTCACATGCAATGTTCTTTATGTATACAGGAGAGAACTGTCTTAACAATAAATATTTTCTTTCGGAAGCTTGCATATTATCAAGTTATTTATAAATAATCTACAGTGAAGATGTTCCTCATCACACAGAGCTTTGCAAACCATTTATTTCACTTGCTCCAACTAGGTGACGTATGTGAAGATATCACCAGCTTAGCTAATTCATAGAAGCATCGCCTTTTCCAATAAAATATCAAATGATTGGACACTAATGCCTCTCAGTCAGACCAAATAATCAATGAAATAATCAGATGAAAGAATTTACGATCGTGAGAGACTTTACTTGTGAACTATAACAGTTTAAAATATGCAACCTATTACGCTCATTTAACTTGAAAAGTCTGGGAATAAAGTATGAAGGCTAAAATGACTTTCCAGAAAATAGAAGCAGTAGAGGTCGAACAACCTATGATCTGTAAGATCTAACTAAATGATCAATCCTAAGAAAAGAATGCCGTGGATATCACATCATATTTACATTACGGTTGTACCCAGTCTTTGTGTGTGAGCACGCATCCATCCTTAGAAGGTGACCAGGTCTATAGAAATTCTCATAACCCTTGCATTAAGTCTCGCTGGCGCTGACTGCTCTTTTTTGTTTCCTTCCTTGCTAATTTATATTTCACAAAAAATTTCTCGCTTCTGCACTTTTGTCAATCTCTATATGACGTTCTATTTGATCTATATCACTTTCTGAACTTCATTACACCGCCAACTCTCCGTACCAAACAATCTATAAAGTTTAGATTTTCCAAGAATTTCTTCAGCTATCTTTACCTTCTTAATACAATAAGACATAATATAATAAGAAGTGCCATAGAATAATATATGTTAAAGAGACTGTTATGAATGTATTTAATGTCTCTGGACAAAAAAATATGCAAAAGAAACAAAATAAGAGTACTTCAACTAATGCAGGATGCAAACTTTACTCTCAGAAAAGGCATTACTTCCCTACATCAAACAACTATAACAATTTGTTGCTAGAGAGAGAAAAGACTCCAAACTTAGCATCAACATAACATGATTGAACAGAGAGCACAAGAGTCTAAACCTGTCAACCCTGCGCTGCTCTAGCTGCGAATCCATCTTCCTCCAATCCCTTCCTTTCTCCTCCAAAAGCACCTCTCTCGGCCTCGCATCTCCAAAAGGATTCACCTTTGCGCGAATCTTAGCACCTCCATCACCACCTGCCACCTGCGAGCCCGAGCTTCCAGGCCTACTTGACTGCGCACTTGAAGGTCTACTCGAATGTGGGCTAGTCGGCCTGCTTGTCTTCTTGACCTCAATCTCACTCTCCATCTTTTTCCAGTCAACCCCTTTCTCAGCCAACACCTCTTCCCTCGGCCTAGCAGCCCCAAAAGGGCTAGCCCGAGTCGTCTTGCTCATCTCCGTCGATGTCTCCCCCTTCGGAGGATCAAGAACAAGCCTCGGCCTCTCACGCACATCACGATCCCCAACATTCGACATCATCATCCCTCCTCCTCCTCCTCCTCCTCCTCCTCCTCGAACCCATCTATCCGAATCCGATGATCCAGCTGCTGATTCACGAAACCCAGATCCAAATCCAGAGTGCCTCGAAGGCGCCGGTGGTCCCGAGACCACCGGCTTCTTGTTACTAAACCAGCTATCGACCTCGTCGGCCTTCGACGAGCTCCCGGACCCCAGAGATCCATACCTATCGTCCTGCCGTCCTGGTCCTTGCCCAAAAGACGACGCCTTTTCCCCCACGGCCCAGTTATCAGCCTTATCGGCCCTCAAGGGCATATCCAGATCGGGCGCCCTAGACTACGACGGGCCTCGACGCCCCTCCTCGTCGAACCCCCCGTCGTAGGGCCTCCTAGCTGTGGGTCCCGCGCCCTCGCCGACACCGCATCCCTAGGACCGGAACCCATGGGAGCCCTCAAGCTCCTCGGTGGAGCGCTCCTTGGGGCTCGTGGGGAGGCGAAGGAGCTCGTCGTGGGTGAGGAACTTGGAGGAGGCTGCGGCCTCCTTCAGGGACGAGAATAGATCGGCTTCCTGCTTTCGCCTGTAGATCTGTGAGAGAGAGAGAGATTAGGGCTAGGGTTAGGGTTAGGAAATAGGGAGTTTGGTTTGGTGAGAGGAGAGAGAGAGAGAGATTGAACGAATAAAGGGCAAAAACGCGAAGAGAGGGTGCGGCTTTGGGGGCACACGCAGAGCTGCGACTACAGTGTTGTGATGTATTTTTGACGTGTATAGTCTACCCCCTCAAATTAATGTATTTGTAAACTTACCCCAAATATGCGTACTTAATTAGGGATAAGAGTTGACCAATTAGCTATTTATTATTGTAAATTACGCTAAACCCCCCACGAACTTTCAGCTTCTTGCGGTAAACCCCTATGAACTTTCAAGATCGCACTAGGCCGTAACAACAACCTTTCAATTTTGCAGAAATCCCATTACGTTTCTGTATCTTGCAGATAGCCTCCATAAATTGGAACCACAAAACAATAAAAATAAAAAAAGGCATCTTCAAAGTTATTAGAGGTTCAGTGTAGTTTACCCAAAATATACTCGGGGTTTCCCGCAGAAGTTATTGGGGGCTCAGTGTGATTTTAAAAGTCCATAGGTGTTTTTTGAAAAATACTAAAAGTTCATGGGTTTTTAGTGCAAGTTACCCTGGACAAATTTTGAAAACCATCCTATTAAAAAAATCACAAATTCCGATCTATTCTAAAAAAATTTGTCAAAACCGACATAGTTTCAGACGGAACTGGGTCGGTTTTGACAAAATATGTTCCGAAACTTGACGGGACTTCAAGTCCCGTGAAGTTTTTGTACAAGTTTTGTAATGTACAAAAACTTCACGCGACTTGAAGTCCCATAAAGTTTCGGATGATTTTTCTTCAAAACTGACCCAGCTGCAGCTCGACGGCTAAAACTAGACCGGTTTTTACAAATATTTTGTGAACATGTCGATTTTTGTAATTATTTTTTCAAATAGGATGGTTTTTAAAATTTATCCCTCGCTTATTTTCTCAAAATGAAAATGAGAGAATAATTCAAAAAAAAATTATGAACAACGCACGTGGTGTAGCGTAAGCAGGTCGAAATGAACAAGGTCCGAATCTGAAAAGCAAGGCACAACGGCATCCACATTGGGTCCATCCGCATAATAAATAAATAAATAAGATACTTTGAGGGTGGAAGACGTGGGTCCATCCTCCGCATCAAAATACTTTCAGCTAATTTTGCTCATAACTAACCGGCAAATATTATTTGGTGTGATAAATTGCCAATGATGTTGGCTGTGGTATCGTACTTCATAATTTGAAGTATGAGTAAAATAAATTTGTCCTTTACCATCAACAGCAGCAGCAGCAACAACAACAACGAAACTACAATGGTCGATCTTCACTAAAACTAGGGCACTTCAAAGTTAGATGGAGATTTTACCCAGCTACTAAGTAGAAGGTTGAAATCTCATCGATGACACAGTTAAAATCGCATTTGAAAAAATACATCTGCACAAGTACACCGGAGAAGAGACATGTTAGAATATAAAACTATAATCTTGAATCATTGTCTCACGCCTTTTAAGACGGCGCACGTCATTGACCCAAATATCGTCTCGAATATACTACTGAATTCCAGCACAGAACTCCTCGTTGACTCGAGTTTTGTACCGTTCCTTATTGGATTTCAGTCTCAAGACCTCGTCGTACAAACACAATGGATATCAGGAGGAGGAAAAAAAAAGAAAAAGGAAACAACAATAATATCAGAAACATGAAAGATAGCAGGTTGCACAAATGAACCAAGCAAGACATGAGCTTAACACAACTCCCCCTCTTTTCATTTCTTTCTCCCTCTCTATTGTACATCTTTTGTTATGAGCAGAAGATTTACACCATACGAAAAAAATCCAAAAATTTTTGTGGTACTACAGCCTCAAACCTATCACGATCTGACAGGAAAAATCCCGGTATCAAATGAAACTAAGTTCCATTCAAATCATCAAAGCAATCGAACATTTTGGACCATACAACACATCCATTTAAAAGAAGAGATCTAATCAATAAAACAGGCAAACTATTGATGTTATATCAGTAAGGGATCACATAAGGCAAAGCGAAAACATCCGCTGACTCGATCTTCAGCCCCTGAGCCCAAACTTCAGGTGTTTCTTTGGCTTCGATCTCTTCCATAGGCTTCGACTGACGGCTATCACCGCCAAATAGCCACTCTTGCTCGTCGAATTCAGGCAATTGCTCGATTTTGGGAATGGAATATACTCGTTCGAGAAACTTGGAATCTGGATGAGATGGTTTAGTGAAGACTTTATTGCTCTTTATGGTATTGTTTACATGAAGTAGAGGTTTTGAATCAGCTGGAGATGGCTCAGCTACTGCAATGCCATTTGTAATTTCTGGCCTCAAATCAGCTATTGGCGGCTGTGCCGCTGCAGTACCATTTATTGCGCCAGTCTTTGGAGCAGCAAGTGAAGGCCTTGAATCAGCTGGGGATGGCCGAGCTACTAAACTAACATTAGTTTTGTGTTCCTTATTATTCAGTACTTTTTCAGCTTTAACGTTATTTGGGGTCATATGCCTAATTGAAGGTGAAGCTGTATGAATATGATGAAACTCAAATGTCTTTCCATTTTGCTGATTAGAGGAAGATGCAGGTCTCAGAAGCTTATTAGGTGGCACTTCATATTCTGCGACCATATGAACGAAGCAAGATAATATCCATAATTCACATAAATGAAGGGCTAATTACGGATAGACCCCCTATAGTTTACTGTTTTGAACTTAATACTCTAGTTTTGTTGTTGCAGATAGACCCCCTGAGTGAACATTTTACTCTTTTACCCCCAGGGGTTTTAATTGTCAAAACATAATGCCTCTTCTTCTTCTTCTTATTTTTTTAAGGGTAAAAGAGTAAAGAAAAATTGACTCGAGGGTTCTATCTGCAACAACAAAATGGGAGGGATAGTAAGTTCAAAACAGCATTGGTACAGGTAGCCTATCCAAAATTAACCTTAAAATGAATGAGTACAATAAAGTATGTAAATAAATGAACTAACCATGCAGAAAACCATTCATCTCTATTTCCTTCCTCTTCTTGCTATTTCCATAGTTACCATCAAAATTCTCGATGCTATTCTCAGGGGCTCGGGGCTTGAGATTTAGACTATTTACTTGATCCCTTACAGTATCTTTTCGTGTATGATTTTCTTTCTGACTGTCTTCACCACTTCCCTTCTTTCTCTTCTTCTTCTCTTCCTTTTCCTTCTCTTTATCTCGGTTTTTCTCCTTCCTTTTCTTTTTCTTCTCTTCTCTTTCTCTATCCAGGTCCCCATCTTTTCCCTTCTCTTTCCTTTCAATGCTTCTGACCTCATCTTTCTCTGCTGGAGTTTGGAGCAAGGCATGATGGTTAAAATTGACCTTGTCCTCTGCTTGAGGAATCTCATCAACTCTTCTTTTTTCAGTATTAATGAAGTTCGAAACCGCCGGGGTTCGGTGGGGCAAAGCTTGATGCTTTTGGTTAAACATCTCCACTGGTTTGATGACCCCATTAACTCTTCCTTGCTCTTTGCTGAAATTTGGAACCATCGGATTTCTATTAGGCAAACTTTGGTGGTTATAGTTACCTTTATCAACTGGTTGTCCAAGTGCATCAGGTCTTCTTTGTTCTTTGCTAAATTTTGTAACCATTTGGTTTCCATTGGGCAACCCTTGGTGGTTTTTTGACAACTGATGTCTATGGTTAGCCTTCTCCATTGGTTGACTAACTCCATCAGGTTTCCTTTGTTCTTTACTAATTGAGATGCCCAAGCCTTCAACCCTTTTTGGAATTGAACAAGTACTGTTCTCAAGCATCCTGTTAGCTGCCGCTTTCTTCTCAATTTCAATCCTTCTGTCCAATTCCTCCATATACTTGGAATTATTAGCTTCCTCAGCCTTGGAGATGACAACCCCAGTAGCATTTTCAAGCATTTGGTCAGCTTCCCCTTTTTCATCTTTCTGCTGATTATGATCACTAGCCCATCTTTCAATTCTTTTGCCATCCGATGTTTTGTTCTTTTCCTTGTCCCTTTTCTTGTCCCTGTGCCTTTCCTTTCGATCTTTCTTCTCTTTGTGTTTGTCTTTGTTCTTGTCTTTATGCTTCTTTTCTTTACCCTCTTTCTTTTCTTTGTCCCTCTTCTCCTTTTTATGTTTTCTCTCTTTCTGCTTCTCCTGAAAATTTGAAGTCACTACACGATTAAGTATTACAATGTGGAGAGAACTTTCAAGTTCCTGTAATATGTAGTCAATAAATAAATATCTGGCAATGGAAAACACTGCAACTACAGATGATGAATCGAAACAAACCACAGTGCCTTAGATACATGAAAGTATAAGCATTCAGCGAAGGAATCAAGATTTAGAACTGAAACAATTAAAACCACCAGGGCAGCCAGTAATTGCAGTAAAAGGTCGTATTAGCTCTCAAGTTAAAAACCCTTAACTGATATTCTCGAAAAGACCCTATCGAATCTTCTGTTAAAGACTGTTTTAGTTTAATAAAAAAAAGGAGATTCCTTAGTATTCTCAAAATTCCAAAGTATATTTGCACAAACCTGTAGGTAATATCATAGTCCCGGTGAAAAACCTGTGATTAAGATATCACTGTAATAATAATAAACATAAACAAATTACTGATATTATGTTTGCATGAGAGAAACTTCCCAAATGTCCCTATTCAAGGTGCATGCAAAAGTGATGAGAATCAAACTATTTATATCCATCAGTAATCACAGAGGATTCAACAATGTTACAAGGGACTTCCTGTCTTATGAGTCCATTTTAACCAAAAAAAGAAAAATCATTGCAGAACTGTTGAAGTTGGTTCACACTAACCAGATCAAAGTTCATGGTTAAACTACCACATGCTTTGTGATTACAATATCGACGAAAAAAATCAATCCATTAAATCTTAGGCATAGCACATTCAATACGGTATCCCAGGAATATCATTTTAACATAACCTAAATGTCCTAACCCGCACGCTAATCTATTACATGAACCAGTTACGCCTTTGCTCTAGTTTAAAATACATATCTCGTATGAGTGACACCTGATATAGAACATTTCAGAATATGCAAAAACGAAAGGCTAATAAGTGTAACATCAGAAGAAGTAATCGTCGGACGAAGTCAAAGAAACATGAATGGATAAGAAGTTGTTAATCCCTAAAGTTTGCAATAAAGGTCTTGTTCTTGTTGCTTGTAGATTCCAAGTGAATCCTAAATTAAGGAACACTTGGCCAACTAGACAAACTTAGCTACTTATTTCCTATAGATGATAACGTTACAGAGGAAACCATTCATGATTAGAACCAATTTAATAAAACTTATAGTTTCAGTATACATGAAAAAAGTAGCTGTCTTGCTCTTCATTTTACCCACAAACTTGCATATGTATAAGCTAGTAAGCTAGTGGTATAAGACATTAATTTATTAGAGGAAAAGGGGAAGGAAAAAAACTGACACCACATGAGCTTACTATCAAGTAACATCTAATGCATTCAATTTTATACAGTACTTGGTTGAGCAACAGATTTTAATAAGTCATAGTGTTATATAGCCAGATAAACATATCAGTTACAGATAAGCCTGAGAATAACATGTCTTTGCAGAAGGAAAACAAATTCATCAACACTTAGTACTTTCATCTCGCATATGAGTGATATTGTGACTACAAATAAGGCCATTCGCAATCAAAATAAATACAGGACAATCAAAGTATTCTTTTCCAAGATGAATCTGATTGATACCACAATATCAACATAATTATGGATGAGTCTGATTGATAACAGAAAGCAAAAACACTTGGCCTTTGATACTTTCTTCGGCTTCAACTCCACCTTTCAAATTCTCAAGTTATTAAGTTACCTTACAAACATTCCAGAGTCCTGCTAGTCTGAATCTTTAAATCCTGAAGCTCCTCCATTTTCTACTTAAAACTTATTCCTTCTCTCAGCTCATTGACTGATACAATATCATAAGTCAACAACCAAAACACTGGAGCATTGTCCTGTATTTGCTTCATAAAATTATCCATGAACAAAGGGCTTAATGCATGTCTTTGATGCATATCTATGGTGATAGGTAAAGTGAATCTATATTATTCCAATTGTTTTCATGCGAGTTAATCCTCCATAATGCAAGAATATAATCTTAATCACATTGACCTAGAAGCCAGCATTGAAGACTTGTTTTTCACACCTAAAACACATCACATAAGTTTCCTAATACCCCCAGAAGATTCTTGTACAAGAATAAACCATATGTTAATCTCTTTTTCCACTAATCATCTTAATAGGTAAAGAGTTTCCCAATAGACTAGCCAACATGAAGCTGAACTCATTTTTAGCACACACAAATGCAGTCCCCCAACCTCACACCACCACCACCACCACCACCACCACCACCATCCCCCCCCCCCCCCAAAAAAAAAAAAAAAAAAAAAANTTCTCAAGTTTATTCAATGAAAATTTCTAGTCTATACAACTCGATGTATCACATTTACTGTTATAAAAAGGTACTAAAATTGCTTATTTCCCATTAATCACCCATTTTCAGTATCCAGACACATGTCCTATAACCTCGTCTAATTTTCCTAATTTTCAGTTTGTTTAAAATATCCCAGTCTTCAGTAGGTCAAAGTTCTCATCATGGCTTTAATTACTTGGTTTTATTATTAAGTTCTACAGTATGATTCTCACTAAAGGACTTATTTTCACCTTCCTTTTGATCTTATATTTTCTTCTACTTCTTCATTTACTGACATTTAAATCGTCATGCCTAGCACGTAGGCACACACGCACGCACACAACACACATGTATGTCTGTATGCGCATATAACTATACATGAAAACGACACAAAAGTGGAAGAGGATTGAGGTGTGTCGATATCTAGTATATGAAACGTTAAAACTGAGGGATGTTTGTCCACTGTCATGCCCATAAATTGACAAGTGCATCTTGACTTAATACCAACAACATATATTAGAAGGGGCCTTTGGGGTGATAATGATTTGAATTTGCTCCATTTAGAATAAATAAATTAAGAGGAAAAATGGATCTCTACATTCATACGCTCTGCAACATTGCACATGCACATACAGATCATTTGCATGGAATTCAGTCATATAAACAATAAAAGTAAGACAATTGAGCATGCATAGAATGTCTGTCTTTAACAGGAGGTAAAATAGTTGTGTTTTACTGAAGGGCGAAGTTTTTCAGGCACATGTAATATAATTGCCATGCAAAATATTGGTGGCATATAAATTTACTACAAGAAAATTTTCATCTAGGAGAAAAAAGAGGGTTTGGATTGCGACCACTGACTGGAGCCTAAATGAATTTCAAAACTAGTAGTCAAATATAAGACACTTTTTGAACATCATAATGGAACTTACAAGACTTCTGATCTATTCATCCAAAATGAAATGTATCATAAGCATTTTGTAATATATATGAGATGAGGCACAAGGTTGATGAGTCGTGATTTCTACATTGCTTTGATATACAATTCTATTACCTATGGAAATGGACAAAAACAATTCTCGTATAACCGATGTACATTTGAAGCTAGAAAACACATGTTTTTACAATATTTTCTATCTGAATCAAGACACCAAATCCAAAACTAGAGGGCCGAGAGATTGCATTGCTGCACAGTGCTTGAGATTCAACTGAAGTTTTAGAACAATAAGATAGCTGGAAGTATAAAAGTTGAAATTTTACTGTGAATTATCTACTTTTAAATCTTAGTATCTTACCAGTTTTGAATTTTCTTATTTCCCCCCTCCCTCAGGCCTCAACACTAAAATGTAAAAAAAAAATATCCATAAGAGCCATCCCCTGACAAAAGGTTCGGTCTTGACCATTTTAGCAGTACAATTTTTCAGTTCTCTTACTGCTGAATGTACAGCAAGGCTACATAAAGTACCATAAACGGAACCACATCAAGTGAGATACCCTCTTGTTTGATTCAGATCAAATCTTATATTTTCTTCACCATAGCAAGCATGCTCATATCTTTTATATATTTTTGGTTCAAGCATGATATCAATGCAATTAATAACATCACCAAGAAACAATCTTTTCTCCTAGCATTGCACATCGTGTGTTAGAAATTTCAGCGACAGTCATGTGAGCGTCAATATGGTCAAATTATAACAATCGAGAACCATACAAAACAAACCTTTGCTAATAAATCCGACGACTGATTGTTCCTGGCCTTCTTTTCAAATCCTGGTGGAGGATAAGGGAAGCACCGAGACATCGCACAAAGCTATCCCAAGTTCAGCCAATGACTTCAGTTGTTTCCAATAAAAAAGCTGTTCCAGTTCGGGAACCGACCACCGAACTCTCTCCTTCTCATCAACCATGTCCTCAAAATCATTTCCCGTATCAGAACTACTCCATTGTGTCAAAACCCATCACCTAAAGCTCCTCAAAACTCAAAGGATCACCAAAAATATTCTTAAATTCCGTAGAAAATTCTCAACTTCTTCTAGTTTTCCGAAGAAATCCCACGATCTGAATCCGAGAAGAGACCTAATTCCAGTAAACCAACAAGGCCGATCACTCTCCTGTTACTGTGCAAAAACCGATGAGAATTCAGTGTAAGCAGCAGTCCTCTTCCATGCTCAAACACAGAATAGTTACCATAAACAGAAACAGCCTAAAATTCCCAATAGCCTGTTTCCAATGTTGGACAAGCTCTAAGCTTTCGGTCTCGATTTCGAAACTTCTAGAAAAATCCCTGAAGAGGGTTCATCTAGAACCACTAGAGCCAGTCCAAAATCTTGAAATCTCGTGAATACTAATGAAAAGGAACAAAAAAAAAAAGAAACCCTAATCGAGGGACTTATGAGAAGAAAAGAAGGAACGAGATCGAGATTGGGAAATCCAAAGCCTCGATCAATCTCTCCAATATAATTAAGAATATATAAGCACTGATTCAATCAAACAAAGAAAAAAAAAATTTTAAAAAGGGAAAGCCCAGAAAAAAATCGAGTAGAATAATCCCTCTACTCTCTTTCTATGATCAAAATTCGCTCTATTTGTCGGGGATTTTGATATTTTTGTTTGAAGGCAAAGGCAACCCCTTTCTCCCCTCTCTCTCTCTCTCTGATGAAAGAAAACCCACAGAGAAAAGAAAGCCTTTGAAGGGCTCAAGAAATGGGAATTTATAGAGAGAGAGGGGGGTGTAATATGTGATATTATTAAAATAACGGCGGAATGCGCAGTTAAAAAAAAAAAGTGGGGGACTTTGGTGGAGGATTGAGATTTGGTTACTCAAACTTTGATTAAGTGGTGACTTTTTCTTCTAATAACCTAATTAATAATAATCACACTTAAAATAATTTTTGACAGGTGTCATCATTTTGGGTGGCATGTGATACTGTCTCCTCCTCTTCTCTTCTCTCTCCCTTTGGGTTTTTTTTTTATATAAACCCAAACTTTTACCTCGTTCTAACTTTGAATCCGTCCACTTCTCAAATCACTTCCAGATCCAAAACATTTCACTAAGCTATTTCTAAATCCACCTCCGCACATAGAAGATTGTTTTCTATAATTGTGCTATATTTTTTCGCACATTACTATATTTTGTGGCTAGTTACTAAATTTCTGATATAAGTCGATGTATATCAAAATGTTAAAGTAGGGAGAACAAAAATAATATAGTAGGCTATTTGGGTTGAAGAATAAATAGTAAAATGTCCTGATAAAAAATAAATAGAGATAAAATTTTGGGCTTATAGGTTAAAAAAAACCCTTCTTTTTTCCTTTGTCCAGTTTACTTGAGTGGGTGTCCATTGGACGGTTGGTTGATTCCACCCTCATTACACGTGTCAGCATCTGTGTTGCTTTAAAAATTAAAATGAAATGTGAATGAAATACCTTATAGTTTCACCTACTTTGTACCCTCGTTTGTGACCTTTGTATATCCTAAGTTGTTTAAAATTAGCATACTAGTATCTTTTCTTAGACAAACATGAAAATTTTGTCCGGGTATTCTCAGATAACACTTAGAATCATTTAGCATGTGAATACCATTTTGAAACATTCAGATAAAAATTTCTATATTTAAGTTATAAAGCTAGTTTTAAAAGACTTGAGGTTTATAAATGCCATAAAAAATATTGAGTGAAGATTTCTATGTTGCTAGTTTACCTTTGGGCTTCTGTTGGAGTGGGCCAAGGAAACTAAAATCTGAAAAGCTTGCCATGACCTCAAGTCATGGGTTCCGACCCGAACCCACGTACACCTACTACAGCTAATACGATACGATCTGTGTTTGTAAGGAGATTCTAATATGGCTCCCATAATCTTGAATTCGATTCCGCATTAGGTTATAGAAAAAAAACAAAAACAAAACAGCAAAATCACCAGCAATTTAACAAAAACTACAGACACAATAGATGAAGGAACCTTCTCTATATACATAAGCTTGTCATTACCTCCTTTTTGTTACAGAACTAACTTTTAACTTCCAAATCCTCACAACTAAACCCCTACTAAAAAGCCAGGGGAAGGTACACAGTAATTTGGCTGCAGCATGATCAACATCAAAATTACATTTAATTTACAGCCTGATGGTTGCCACAGGAAGACTAAAAAAACCCTAGAAATTTTCTAGGTTTCTCGACAACCCAACTACCAGTCGCCTCCCAAAACAAACTACACAAAATTTGGCGGCGAACTTTATGCACAGCTTAATTGTTCAGAGATTATGATCTTCAGTCAAATATCTCTTGGGCTTCAATTATGCTGTGTTGACTGCACAAAGCAACAGAAGGAATCAGCCTAAACCGATAAATGAATAGATGGAGGATTTTCTGTTCGCTAAGTTTTTTGTTTTAAGTTTCCTTTTTAATACAGTATTCGCTGTGCATGTCAGTTTTGTTATGCAACTCTTTTAAAGAAAATTCTAATATCCAAGGACTTGAAAACACTTACTGTTCATCCTTTGTCACACGATAATATCTCTCAGCATGCTGACGCTGACCAATCAGCTGTGCGAAGCGCTCATCATGAGTGATAACTATCAATTGGAAGTTCTCCTGGCCTTTCCTATCTTCCATAATTCTGACATAATTACGTAATAACTAAATTAATACAACGGACTACAACAGTAACTAACGTTGTTCACAGTATATTAAGTGATACTCCAGGTATGAGACCTTAAAAGTGCTGCAGCAAGACTTTCTGCATTCGGCCCATCCAGGTTTGTGGTTGGTTCATCAAGTGCAAGTATACCACAGTTAAGGCAGAAAGTTTCCGCTAGTGCCAACCTTATGATAAGAGAGGCAAGTACCTGGATATAACCAATATTAATATTTGATGATTGATGACATATAATATCGACATTATCCAAGTTTCATGATTATGTGTATATTTTTGGCCTTTGCAAGCTAGTTTTACCGGACCAGTAGGCCACTAGTTTCTTACCTTTTGACCAGCACTGCACCTTCCACGCATTTCCAGCTCAGCATCACCGGTTTGCATCACCACCTGGAGAGAAAAGGCCCAGAACCATCAGGAGTTAAATTAATTTCAACAATGGGATTCTTTCGATGTTAGTCCCTTAAATTTTTCATATTTCAAATTTTTTCTTATAACCCAGCCCAAAATCGAACCCAAAATTATGGGAGCCATATTGGAACCTCCCAACCGTTGGGTCGCCCACGGTGAGTCATATTAGTCCCTCAAATCATTGAAATTGCTATTATGTCCCCCAGTTCTTAAATTATTTTGAAATTAGTACCTCTCCAACTAAGAGAAGTGGCACTTAAGAGGGATTAATTTGAAAACGAACTTATGAGAATTGGGGGACCTGATAGCAATTTCAATAACTTGAGGGAGTAATTTAAAAAAACTTAATAATATGGGCGATCTAATGGTGATTACAATTATTTAACAGGCTAACTTCAAAATATGAAAGGATTTTTTTTTTTTGTTGGTGTTGGGGGGTTTGGGGGGGGTGGGGGGGCGGGGGGGGGGGGAAACAAAAAAAAGAACAAAAAATTGGGCGGCAGCAAAGAAAACGCTAAAACATTCTTTTTATAACTACCGATTGCCGGTAGCTGTAAGACCGACTACCAGCACCTTCCGAATCGGAATGAATACTTATATAGTCGATATCTTGGCCTCTGTATGTTTGTTGCCATAGCTCCCTGATGATCTTATTTATTTCCTCCATTTTCATCGCGTGGAAGCGCATTAATGCTCTAGCAATGGAACAAAAAAATCAGTTTGACGAAGTGATCGCTTCATAATATGTGCACATCGCCTAGAATAGTGAACTATATGGCAATACTGATCCTGGAAAGTAGCCTCAACTGAACTTTTGTAACAAGTCGACACAATTTGATCTTTTGAGTACCATTAAAGAAGAATAATGAAAGAGGTTAGAACACTTTCAAGATAAAGAACTTAAGACTTCACACGGAAACTTGAACATGAATAACACGTCAAAGAACTTCCAAGCAAATCTCCTTTTATATTTGGAGTGAAATGTCATTTTACTTGTTATCATTTTATTCAAGGAAAAACATCAACTTTATCCGCAATAGCCAGACAACAAAAGATAAAGAAATATATAAGATGGAAAGAGCGAAGGGTGAATAGTCAAAACACATACATCAACGTGATATAATGTTTAGTACTTACTTGTCAAGCGCATTGTAGTATCTATCCAGGTCCTTGTTTGCCATTTCAGTAGTCTACAACAAAAGTTCTTGGCTTAGGATACTTGAAATATATCAAGGTTGCGGATATGAACAATGAAAATTTGCAATCATTTACCTTGAGTTGGATAAGCTGATTGAAGTACCGCTTGTCAATGTCAGTGTATTGTGATTGTTTAAGCTCAAGCTTGTGCTTTGATACATTACTTTGATAGACAGAAAGTGTGCCATGACACCTGTTCAGCTGCAATTTATTCAAGTAGATATCAGATGTGAAGGTGCCCTGGCTCCTTACAATCTTGATAGACAGCTTGCTAAATAACTATGGGCAGATAGACAAAATTTCATATATTAACACATCTTTCAACTTATTGCATTTCCATATCAAAGGTATATATATTTTTTAATATTGGCAACACGTTTATTGCATATCCTATAAACTCATTACCTCAATAATAATAATAAAATAGATACAAAAAATAATGATGAAAATAAAATTATGGGTACTAAAACAATAAGACAATATATTTCATAACTATGAAGTCATGTTAACTAGTAGACATCACACATCTTAGACCACATTGAACTAAAGGGATGACTATACAGGTACACAGAATTTGTCTTGTTTTGACCAGAGATCTCACAGATGAGTACCTCCTAGTCAACAAACTAATCAAGGCTGACCTCAAAACCAGCCAGAAGGTTTAACATCAAATAGCAATACACCATAGAGCAACTAAACATAAACACTTAAGCTTTCCTAAAGGTACTTATTAATAGATACATTTTAGTATGAAGATAAATAAATATAACAAGAAGCACATTAAATGAGGAATCTGTTTGGTTTTGCCTGTGCCTTGGTGCAGCATTAAGGTATCCTACTTATCAATGCCCCTCAAGGATTTATAGCCAACCCCTCAATATCACAAGTGTCCTTAAGATTTGGTACAAAAAATCTCAGATTTGAGCACATTAAAATCCTTCGATGAAATCTTTTATGGAGGCTTATGCCCTATAACTAATTCTATTTTAATGGGAAAAGGTGATAAACATGGGAAGCAGTATTAAATTAATCTAGAAATACACACCAGAATAACTCACAACCACTTTTCATTACAACTAATGGGATAACAAAAGGTAAAAGAGAACACATAATGTTAAAATCTCACCTCTGAAAGCAGTCTTTCCTTCTCTTGTATATGTCTTTTATGATCAGCTTCAATGGCAGACAGTCCACCGATATCTAGTACTTTTTCTTCAAGTATCTCTATTTCACGAGTAAGGTCATCTACTTCCGCCTTTGTTTTTCGATAATTCAAGTTGTCGTCTATGTTTCTTTTTAGCTGGTCTTGATTGCGTAGTAACTCTTTACTCTTGTACAATTCAGCTGATATTTCCTGTTTCCTCTCCTCACATTTTTTTAGATAAGATTCAGATAAAGCGAGCTTCTCTTGCAATTCCTTTAGCTTTTCTCCTCTCTTGGAGTCAACATACCTTAACATTGTACAGAAATATACAGTTAATCTCCATATGTAGGCATAAACTCATAATTCTAGGAAACATACTCTTTGATTCTAGCAGAATTCCTTAGAAGCATCTTCTGCAAGTTCATCATACTCCAGCTCAAGTTTCATTTTCAAATCTGCATGTTCCTGCATCAGCTTCTCTTTTTCCTTCAACAATGGGCCAATAGCTTCAGCAAGATGCTGAAAATTTCAAGGAGATCAAACAAGTCAATAGATTATATTATAGTGACTAGTGAGAAAGACTCAAAGCTTAATATAAAATTTTGACAAAAAAGTATAGTGCAAACAAATAATCAACAAGAAGAACTCTGGTCTCAGCAATCAAAAAGATATTTGTCTGTAAATAATTTCTTGCTCCATTTAGACATATTTCTCAATAATTTATATAGAAAAGTATTAGTAACAAAAGGTATATTTGGGAAAGCTGGATAATCAAGAAAAGCATCAAATCATGAACCACTAATTTTTTTAAACTAACAATGCTCACTTGTTTTAAATCTATTCAGAGAAAAATTCTATTAAAGCTGAAATGAAAAGTTTCTGCAGTTGTGTATACATTTCAAGTATCTTAAACTGAGATGTGCATATCTAAGAGCCTCTATTTAATGCAGTAAGAGATCAATAACAGAAAAAGAAAACTATTTGTGATAGATTAGTCATTTCACAAGACGCAATAAGACTCCAAAAATAAAGTTGGCCAGTACATATATTAGGCTACTAAAGGGGAAAAGTTTTCCCAAAGCATTTGAATGAAGCGCTCGACATGACATGAAACAAATCTGGAGATAAATGTCAAATGTGATGCAAGAAATTTGGAAATACAAGAACTAAAAACCTCACCTTTTCATCAAGGTCAACTTGAGTTCTTTCTTCAGCTAGAGAAACCAAGTCTTCTTCTGCCTTTTTGAATTTATGTAATATATTAGATGCTTTTAGCTTCTCCTCCCTAACGGCATGCCAGCGCATTTTAATGTTTGATAAATCGTTAGTAAAAATCCGCTGCTCCTCCCTCAGGCTGTCTATCTCCTGGCTGAGTTGTTCCCTGGTTATACATTTACACAAGAAATGATGAACCATAAGATTTTGATTTTGTAGACTTAAGCATCTATGTCTCATTCAAGAAAGTATAAACATAAGCAGGAAAAGTTCAAGAAGAGAAGCAATATGAAAGACATTATTTGGGTGGTGTAATTTCTTATACAATCATAAAAATTCATATTATTATGATATTTGTATAACTAGAGGAAGATCAGAATACTCCCATTACCATCTCAGAGAATCATATTATTGTAGTTATATACTGTTTGCATATAGCAGAATCAGAAGGTATTAAGATTTCAAAAGGATTGTTGGATGTGGAGGATAGTTTACTTCTTGCTCTGCTCAGCATTCAACTGTAACTGAATTTCCTCTGGGGATTTGACACCTTGTACTTGTGCATCCAATTTATACTCTAAATCTTCAATTTGTGATCTCAACATCTGCATTTCATGTAAAAGCCTTTCAACAGTTTCCACAGGTTGAACCAAAGCTTCCACCGCATTCTTTTCAGTTTCAACATGAGCAAGAACCCCCAAAAGCTGCAGGCAAGAACAATAAGTTGATATCAAGAGCCGGCCATGACAAGACTTCCATAACACGTGAAGTAGATCAACATAGACTCATAAAAAAGCAAGAAAAAATTATTATTTAAGCATGTAATATGAAGATGTTAATTGATGGATTAGTAAGATCCATGCAATGCAGCACAGTTAAAATCTGATGAATCAATAATATAGGCGTGATCAAGTCATGTATCTAGCATGGAAACCAAAGTAATACATCTTATTAATTTGGAAGAAAATATATCAAAACCTACCAACATAATATGTAACACAAGTTGTGTAATATAAATCTAGGAGAAGTAATGATC